CGCGTCCAGGTGTTAAACTAGCACTGAGTTTCAATGCATTGTGTTTGCAGCTGCTATTTACTAACATGGACAGTGTTCCCCAAGGGCTATGGTCTCACATGTCTCATTCCTAGGATTTATTCCCTCTGAATTTCCTAGTGCCCCACAGTGGTTTTTGCATCTTGTTTGTTTCCACTTTCTGCCTGCATTTGGCACCCACAAGCTGGACAAGGGGTAAAGATACCCCAGGAAAGGCCAGTGCTGGGGTAAGACAGTCCCACGGGGCYGTGCAGCGCCCTGTCTGCTGACGATGCATCGTTTGCTCTCTTTTTTACCCTCGTTTCTTGCAAGGCATCTGGATGGCAAAGCCTCAGAGCTGTTCTTTCCTTTAGTACTACTCATCCTGGAGTTAAGTGCATTGTCCTAAGCTCGTTGTTTAAGTGCACATATAGCTTTTGGATTGTAACTCTAAAACGACCAATGGCTAGATGAACTCTCTTTTTTCTTTTTTTTTTTTTTTTTTATCTTCGTGTATCTTGGTGTTATCTATGCTTTATAGGTAGAGCTTGGGCCTCCGCTTTGTCGCAGGACTTGCTGTTCTTGTAGGCGGGCATAAATGTTTAACGCAGCCATGTGGATGGTTATGTTCTTTAGAAGTCAGCTCCAAAAGTGTTTTTCTGAAGTTGTTGTGGACTTAGCCCAAACTCTCTGCTACCTTTCACATGCTCCGTCTGATCGAGGTGTTTCTGCAACGATGCCRCCCTCCCGAATGAAGGGGCAGGGCCCGTGCGCAGCCCTGCGTGCCGCAGCGAGCAGCGGGATTAGCTCTGCTCCAAGGAGCTGACCCAGATCCACATCTTAGGAAGCAGGGGGTGACACTGTGGAGTTGGCACCAGCGGTAGGAACATGGTGCCCCCTGCCCGCGCTGTGAGCGAGGAGGAGGGAACCCGACTAGGGTCCTTGCATTTATTTATCTATATGCTATCCAGTTGAGTCAGAGATTTTTCCCCTATCTGCTTCTGTCAGCCTGGGACACGTTGCTCTACTGAAATGCGTAGCATTAGAAAGCTATTTTTGGTAGTCTTGCTTTGCCACTAAATGTATGGCCTTTCTATGAAACGTTGTACTTCTAGATGGCCCACGTTATCACTGCTGCCATAAAGCAAAAATGAAACATCTGCTTTTCTGAATGTTTCAGCAGGGCAAAAATGTTCCAGCGGCCCGGGTGTCTGTAAATAGAAGCTCTAATCTGTCCGGGCTTCTGAGGTTTCACCRGCTAGGCTGGATGTGGGGCAGAGGCCCACGCCAGTCAAAGACAGCGTGTTTTCTACGTGGCCTCTTTCTAAAAGTACTCCCTGCCTGTTTGCTTTAGCCACCTCACCAGCAGTCACAGAGCTAGCTAGGAGCCTACAAGTGCCCCTCTGTCCACACAAAAGCCACGGTTGGCTGATGCCCCCAAATCTGTCGCTTCCCTCCTGCCGTTTCCAGCGCGTGGTGGGTCYGAGCCCCGAGGTGCCCCGTGGCTCCTCCACGGGCCGCCATTAGGCCGCTGTCGGGGTGGGAAGGGCCATCAACCAGCGGGTTGTGGCTGCAGGTGCTTCCCGTTGCACCGGCCCACGCCACGCTGCCATGAACCTCCTCCGAGGTGCTCCCAGGGCCTGGGCCCCCCTGAAGGGCAGGAGGACACATTAAGTTGTTCCTTCTGGCTTGTAGGCAGTACATGGAGAACCAAGGGGTCTGAAGGCCACCGAAAGCTTCCTTTGGAATTCCTCTTGTCCCAAAGACCAGTGCAAGCTGGAGTGGTTTATTTTGGGGTGGTATGTTCAGGCCTCAGCGAGTAATTACAGGGCTTTGGAGAAATCTTCAGTCAGAGTTAGCTTGGCAGGGAGCCGGACGTCGGAGCGAGTGCTGCAGGCGGCTCTTTAAAATAAAACTTCTGAAGACCCCTTGAATCGGCACCTCAGCGGCACTGGTCTCATCTATTTCTGGCTCCTCAAATGCAGAGTAAAGCGTAAAATTAGACACTTCTGGTTTTAAGGCGGTGGTTTCTGCTTCGCTTTTTAGGTGCCTTGTGATTAGGGTGGAAGGCAACGCCCCTGGCGCGTCCCTCGCCACCGGCCTCTGCCTGGGTGGGTTCTGCGAGGCCTCCTAATTGCACATCAGAGGATTTCTACCTCGTTTAAGTGTTCTCGAATTAGCAACCTGATGGTAGCTTGATGGGAGGTGGAGAGACCAGGTCCACTGCATGCCCACATGCCATCTCTAGGAACTGTGGAACTGGTTTTTTTGATATTTTTTTAAGAGTTTCACTTGACTCAGCAGTGATACTTGTGTATCTAATGATATGGACCAGACCCCTAATCCTAAAATAGAAAAAAAAACTTAAAAAADAAAAAAAAAAAGTAGTTTAAGTGTTGTGAGAAGAAGCAAAAYGGTTGTGGAACTTGTGACTGGAAAGCACCTCTGAGTTTCTCTTGTAAACTCCTTTCAGCCCCATGCAGAAGACAGAAAAGGCCCCGGGCTGCGTGTGCACCTGTGGGACAGGTTCTTGTTCGCGGCTGTCCGTGATGTTCCCCCTCAAGCCCTGCTCTTGTCCCCTGCCTAATTGCCTGCGTGATGTCGTACACCCGGGACAAGTGTCGGAGGGCAAGCAGGCTGTCTGCTCACAGAGCTTGTACTGACAACAAATCAGCTATGAAGGAGCTCTTTATCACAAACCGGGACTTCTTACGGCATTTTGAAGTAATTAGCTTTCATTGGAGTGAACAGCAAAGCAGCAGATGCTTAATCATAGTTGCATTGTAATGCAAGAGAAATCATGAGTAAGAAAACTCATACGCTGAAGCACTTCTTGCAGATCTAATGAACTAAGCAGCTGTGGGGAGCCGGGAACATGTGATTTTTTGCTCAGGAGCGTGAGTTATATTGTGCTAAAGCTTAGTCACTTAAATAGTATCTTGTGACAGGATTTAAAGCTCCTAAACGTGTTTGCAAAGTAGATTTATAGCAATAGTCTATTGTACCCGTATGAACTTGAAGATCATTCAGCTCTAGCTGCCTTCCAGGACTCAGTTTGAAGTTCTGGTGAATCTATACCAAATTTAGCATTAGTCTTCCTGCAGAATAGCAAGTCCTCCTCAAAGGAAAGGAGATTCTAATGCTGCTCAAATGTTTACTATTTTTTGCCTCCCAGGTACATTTCTGAGGCACGTTGCTATTTGCAGTTATTTTTTCTGATTTGACGGATTCTATTTTATCCATCTCTCAAGTTTCCTTCCATTCTTGATGCCTACAACTGTGTAAAGTTTAAGGCATTTCATACCTGAAATGTGACTTAATAAATTAGGCAGAGTCARTGAATGTTTTATTATAGGCAAAGCCTCTTTAATCTTTCTGGAAACGTCCTTTCTGTCTGAAGGAGCTGCACTGAGTTGAGTGCAGGAACGAGGACCAGACCTCAGCTTGAATTAACCCCGGGTATTTTTGGCACTTAGATGCCTAACTTTTAAGTGGCTTAGCCTCAGCTCTATCTGAAGGGAGTTTAAGTTTACTGCCTTGAGGCAGTTGCTGCTTTCTGTTTTCCCACGTTTTAGATGGGGATGATCAGCCCTTATCTGTACTGCAGATTACACCTTTTGGTTTTGTGTTAGCCACCTTTTTCTTATTCTCTGCCACATTTACCTTAGCCAGCACATTCAACTCCCACAAAAATGGATGAGAGGGCTGGAAGGAAGAGACCTCCTGACTTGATACCTCCCAGGTATCTTGTGTCGCGTTGCAGTCATCTCTCGTTTGCAGAAAGGACCCTTGGGCTGTGCTTTGGTTTCTGCTTCTTCCTTCTCAGAGTGGAGCTGAAGCAATTTTAAGATGGATCTTTCTTCTCCTCGCTGCTCTTCTCTGTGGCTGCCTCTTTGGGAAGTTTCCCTTTCGTGTTAAAGCAAAGAGATTATCTGGTGCCTTTGCCCTGTGCCAGGAGACGAGATAAGAGCCATCTGCAACCAGGATGGCTGATAGCTGTGATAAGGCAGAGTGCTCCCTCCCCCAGCCTCGTTACTTGGAGATCTGCGTCAGGCCAAGCTCCGAGCTATAAACGGATCAGGCTGCCCTGCCTCTCCTGCAGAGAGTGGTGCCAGTGGTGCCCAGAGCCTCGTGGAAGGTCCCCACACGTCCTCCCCGTGCACGTTTGGACCCTCCTTTGCAAGGCTAAGTTCAACTCCTCCTGAGGGCCTTGCAGAAGCTCTGTCTGAAGCAGTTCCCATGCTCAGCAGGCCTCCCTCTTTTCCTTTGCTGTTTCAGACTACACTTGGTTCATCCATTTTTTGGCTCAGAGGGGTGATGAGGGTAGACAAGAGGCCACGTAAGAAAAATCCCCTTCTCTGCCTGGGACTTTTTTACTCACACTCACTTTAGTTTCTTTTGCACTCACAATCTGAACCACTCGTGTGATTTGAAGCACGATCTCTGCATGGCTTGGTTCTTGTCCGCTTGGGCTGACAAGCGTTTCCATGGGCATTTTTGTCCTTGGAGCTGGCTGTTCCCACTGGCTGGCTCCCAGCATGACAAGCACAGTGACTGCCTTGGAAGGACAAGCAGTCCAGGACAGATAGCGTGTTTGCCCTGCAAAAGGCCCTACAAAGCTGGCACGTTTCTGTAGGGAGATAAGCTTGAGGACTTTCAGCCCAGTTCACTAATGGAGTTTGGCTCTGTCCCTTCTGGACAAGGAATTGAGTAAACCGGTTAAGCAGGAGAAGTGGAAGAGCTTGTGAGGGCTTTAAAGGTAAATGCTGATGAGATGATTAGTCTATAGTCTCTAACCCAAATGGAATATTTATCTACGCTGGCTAGTGAAGCTGCTTGCTGTTCCCATAACACTGTGGTGCAGTTTCAGGTGGTGAGGACCGAGTTAGGCTTCTGCAAAGAGGAATATTCGCAGACTTGGTTGCCAGTCATTTAAAAAAAAATCTGGGATTGGTTTGTCTTGGTACCTTTTCTGAAGGCTGCATTTTCTTGATTTCCCATAGAGAAGAAGTTCAGGAAAACTGTGTCCGCTGGAAAAAGAAATTCACCTTCGTGTGTAAAATGAGTGCCAACCCGGCCACAGGACTGCTGGACCCCTGTGTCTGCCGAGTGTCTGTGCGTAAGGTGAGCATCAAGCTTCTGAAACAGCACCACCTGACAATATGTGTATGGCATTAGTTCCAAATTCACCCTTTTTTTTTTTTTTCTGGTGGCAAAAATGTGCTAGAAAGTGCTAGAAAGGAAGGGTTGTTTGGGCTGGGGTGTGAACTGAAGGGAGTGTTTGGAGCAAAGACATTTGATGGAGGGTGGGAGGAACTGGGTGGTGGTACCCTTGAGAGACAGAGGTTTGTGAAATCCTGAGAGCAAATTCCAGTATTGATTAATGACTTTCYCTCTGTTTCCCCAGCACATATAATAGCTGCTTTTCCTGTTTGTCTCCCATTATAGGAGCTGAAGGGCGGAAAAACCTACTCCAAGGTAAGAGCAGGGAAAGGGCAAATGTGGCAGAGTGGCGATCAGTCTTGCGTTCTGTCAGTGCTCTTTGTCTGTTAGAAACCGGTGGGTGGATGGTCACAAAACAGCACAGTTGCTGTGTGAAACAGCCTGGAGAAACAGCTTTCAGTGTAGGCCAGAGTTAAATGAATTCCCCCAAAAATTGACTTCCTGGGACAGGATCCAGATTGCACTGGATGTGGATCTGAGAAGGGGGTTGGGAAGATGATCTGTGTGTGTCCTCAGACTTTGGGGAAGTTCTGAGTCAGATGTGAACTCTCTGGCTTGTGGCCACCCTTAGCTAATACAGAAATCTGGACTCCAGTTCTGTGGAACGCAGTAACCAGCTCTGGTCGGTACCTCGCTGCGTCGCGAGCACAGGCAGGAGCTTGCTGCAGAAAYCGTTGCCTTCCAAAGCACAGGGGACCTCAAGGCTTATGCTTTTCTCCCCCCATTTTCTTGTTCACGCTTTGGAGAGACAATGCGTTGGATGCCACCCTCTTTCCCCTGTGCTGGAACAAGAGACAATGTCAAATCTGAGCTCATGCAGAGCCTGAGACCATGTTTGTTTGGAAATGAGTTGCTGATGCTGGTTTCTAACAAACAGGCGTTCTGGTCACGCGCAGCCTTGTAAGAATTTCTTCTAATTGATATCTTTCCTGAGGCCGTGGCTGTGACGGGTTGTGGGGTGACCTGCCCTCGCTCGTACCTCCTGCTGTGCTGCCTGGGACGAGGGCGGTGTTGCTGCCCACGCTGTTCCTTTTCTGTGGCTAATTAGGACACTGGTCTCTGGGGCCATTAGCTTCTCTTTCACTAGCTTCACACTGGGAGGGAGTAAATCCTCCCTTCTGCAGAGCTGCCAGCCCAGTGAGCGAGCAGCAAAGAAGAAAAGTGCCTGTGAGACCATGTAAGTGCACCAGCCTGCTCCTCCTCTAATGCCTATCCTGAAACTTCCTGTGGTATTTAAAAAAGCAGAATGCAAAGAAGCCTGAAGGCATATCTTCACAGTGGAGTTAACCTGGGCTATTACTCAGGAAATGCTCCAACTGGCTTCCCTTTTACTCAGTCTCTAGTTGAGTTTAGTGGCATTTGTAAAAGGAGACCTAGTTGCTCAAAAACAGAATTAGAGGCCAAAACTCAAGTAGCTGTCTTCTCTTATGCTGCTATCTTGCTCGGTCTCTTGTTCAGGGATGGAATCACAGAATGGTTGAGATTGGAAAAGACCTCTACAGATCATCTAGTCCAACCCCCCTGCTCCAGCAGGGACACCTAGAGCATGTGGCACAGGACGGCATCCAGGTGGGTTTTGGGGACCTCCAGAGGAGACTCCACAACCTCCCTGGGCAGCCTGTTCTACTGCTTTGGGCACCCTCACAGTCAGGAAGTTCTTCCTCACATGCAGACAGAGCTTCTGTTGTTTCATTGTCCCTTGTCCTGTCACTGGCCACCACTGAGAAGAGCTTGGCCCCTTCCTCCCTATATTCACCCTTCAGGTACTTAWACATATAGGTCAGATCCCCTCTCAACCTTCTCTTCTCCAGAGAAAACAGGCCCAACTCAGTCTCTCGTCATACGAGAGATGTTCCATTCCCTTAATCATCTTAGTTGCTCTCCGCTGGACCCTCTCTAGAAGCTCCACATCCCTCTTGTCCTGGGGAGCCCAGAACTGCACACARTACTCCAGGTGCGGCCTCACCAGAGCTGAGTAGAGGGGCAGAATCACCTCGCTCGACCTGCTGGCAAYGTCCTCCTGATGCAGCCAGGATCCCATTGGCCTTCTCGGCCATGAGGGCACTGCTGCCCAATGGTTAACGTGGTGTCAACCAGGACTCCCAGGTCCCTCTCTGTGGAGCTGCTCTCCACCAAGTCAGTCCCTAATCTGTGACGGTGCCTGGGRTTGTTCCTCCCCAGATGCAGGACCCTGCACTTGYCCTTGTTGAACCTCATGAGGTTCTTCTCTGCCCARCTCTCCATGTGAGATATCCCTCGCTTGGATGTGATGGTCCTTCAGTGGCTTTCACAGCTCCTTCTGGACAGGTAACTTCTCGAATTCCATAGAAGGGCACCTGAGCTTTTCAGCAGTTCACAGACCAGAGATGTCATCCTAGAGGGCTGACCATGCCTTGCAGGCTTGGCATCCGGACCAGGCTCAACCAAATTCTTTTCCAGGCCTGTCTTTATGGTAGAATTGAGTTACTTGGTGTTCCTAATGTTTCTAGCAGAAGTTGGCGATGTGCGATTGTGCAGGTGTAACGKGGGTCTGTCTCCCCATTCCTGACAAATGAGTCTTCACCTTCTTGAGCTAACCTCATTCAATTGAAATCACCTCTAATTATGATGATAGATGCAGAGGATGCTGCTGCTTGGAAATGACCTATCTGATCCCCTCCCTCTAGTAAGGACTAAGAGCGATTTAGGTATTGGCATTCAAGTTGGCCCTATCTAGAAGTTAAATTTCCATAGACCTGCTCACCTTTCAGTTTGACGTTAATGTCACTTCGATGTCAGGGGTCATAGAGCGGGAGCCAACAGGAAGGACTGATAAAGCAGAAACTCTTTCCCTGAGCCGGAAGAAAACACCATCAGCTGGCTGGAAAACTGAGGAAACTATTCTGAAAGGTTAAATCTGAAAACATCCTTTTGTTAAGGGATCCTTCCTCTATCTGCTGGGAGTCTGCTTCCTGAGAAAGCTTCTGACCTCAGCGTGCCGTGTAGGACGTTGCAGTGCTCTCCCACACTGTCCTCTGATCTCCCTCTTCTTACGGAGGGGCCTTGGAGTGTGTTGGCACTTTTGTGGAGGAAGTGACAGCGGATCTGGGCCATCCTGTGCCACGTTGCTCTGCTGGCGTGGTCACGTCAGGGCCCTTCTGCCAACTCCGTGACGCTGAAGTCGAGGGCTCTGCGTTGCAGTCCCTCTGTGCCTTTCTCCTGTCCCATTTTGCTTTGGAAGGTGATAAATCACTGCTCTTTCTCTATGGGTGAATATTCAGCGTCAGTGAGGCCTTTGGCTAGAAAAGTTCCTACGAGACTGTGGAACATATACGGCAAGGGCTGGCAAACAGTTGAGTTAAGGGGATTCTGAAGTAGGGAGAAAGGGGATGAAGTTAGGGACTTTTTTTTTTTCTTTCCTTCCTTTTTCTGTTGAAGAAATATTCCTTCTTCCCCCACTTATATTTTACTTGTCATCAGCATTTGTTTCCCTCTCACAGTGGGGCAGGAGGTATCTGAATCTTGCTGCTACCATCCCCTGAATCATTTATTGAGTGCGGGCGTGTCCTGGGTAGGGTTTGGACTTCTGCTTGGGAACAAAGGGAGCCAGCGTTCACCCGTGAGCCTGTGCTTTGTGCTGTAATTCCCGGCCAGCCTGCACAGTAGGACTAAACTGCTCTGGTGCTCCTCCTTACTGCTGCGGCCTCAACAGCCTCTTTGGACTTGCCCGTTGTCTTTGACTTTCCTCTTCCCTACTTGCTTTGTGTTGCATTTTCACATACCTGGTTCCTTTCTTTCGTTAGAAGGGAAAAAAAAAAACACAGCTAAATCTCTCCAAATATTTCCCTTCCCTTCTGCCTCTCAAATGTGCCGCTTGCTTGTTAAATCCTCAAGGATTTGGCACCCTGTTGCAAGGCTCTGGAGTTTCACACCTGGGCTGGCTTCTGCCTTGCTCTCCTGAACGTCTCCAATTTGCTTCCCGGGACGGTGTGGCTCTCTGCTGTAGCAGTTTCCTTTTGTCTCCTGGTTCACATGCTCGGCTGCCTTCTGGGATGGCCCRACACAAAGAGCGCCTTATGCTTGCGTGTGTGATTCTGTTTTTTCCACATCGTTGACCTAGTACCTTCCATGTCCTTGGTTATGCAACGGCTGCAGGCCGTTAACGCTGTCCTGGCCAGAGCTACAGCTGCGTTTCCTTCCTCGGCACGGGGCTTCCTGCAGGCTCCCCAGTGTTACCTGACTCAGGATTAAGTGTGGTCTTTCCCGTCCTCAAGCGTAATGGATCCCTGTAACCACAACCCTGTGGCAGCCTCTGCTGGTTCGTGCTTCTGCCTGACCTCACACATGCACCGTTTTCCTTTTGTCCATGGGACACCCTGTATTTCTCCACTGAGTCATTTTTTTCCCCTCTCCATTGTTTTCTTGGCCACAGCTGGGCTTTGCTGATCTAAATCTGGCAGAGTTTGCGGGYTCTGGATCCACTGTGCGTTGCTGCTTGCTGGAAGGGTATGATACGAAGAACACCCGACAGGACAACTCCATCCTGAAGGTACAGCAGTCAGCGCTGCCCCGGCGGGAATCCTGCTGTTGAACTCGGATCGTTGCCAGAATGTAGTGCTGGGCCTGAAAGAAAATCCTGTCATGTACCTTAGCCACAAACCAGCTTGATTTCATGCTGCTAGTCTGATTTGGGAAGTCTCCCGTTATCAGCGTCAAGCTGATGTTTTGATGCATTTAGGCATGGGATGGCACTCAATAACAGTGTTTCATCCAGAAAAGCACAAACGGGGGGAAAAAGTCTGAATTCCGTCGTTAGGGTTGCCAGGATGGTGTCCCACCAAGCTGCTGCAATGGGGAGTGCTTGGGGCAGGGAGGAAGATATCTTGCTAAATCCCCAAAGCTGCGCTTTTCTTGGAGAAGAACCAGATCTGCTTAATCTCCCCATGCAGACCTTGATGTCCTGGCCATGGTGAGCCCGTCGCATTGCGGTTAATGACCTGCCTTGTCCCCTCTCTCTAGGTCACGATCGGGATGTCCCTGCTCTCAGGAGATCCCTGCTTTAAAACGTGAGTTCCTGGGTGCTTGTCCCATTCAAGAGCGACAGAGACACGTGGTTCCTTTGCAGTTCCTTGCTGGGGACTAATTCCTGGGAAGCGGGAGATGTCCCTGGGATTCAGAAGCACCAGAGAAGCCTTGAAACTGGTTAAGTTAATGAATAAGCCAGAACAGTGTAGCCTGGCTGTGCAGTTGGTTGGTTTGTGTTCTCTGCTCTGCTTTACCCAGTTTTAAAGTGAAGTGTCTTCCACAGGGTTTGGGGAGGCCTGACCCCAACTGTCATAATTGATAGTAGCATCTATGGGTGACAGATGTTGAATGAAAGCTATGGAAAAAATACTTCAACACCAAAATATGTTAATTTTCTTTTCCTTCTATAGAGACCTTTGCTCACAGYGTGTAGTAATTAGTAATCAACAACTATTAAAGCATCATGTAAATTTATTGTAAAKCATTACTATAAGAAAGAATAAATGTGATTAAGCTACAAAGGGGTTTTATTGATGTAGAAATTGTCAGAGAATAAGCTAACAAATAACAAACTGTACCTTTATACTGCAGTATAAAGCAGCAAGGCTTTGCAGTGCAAGCCAGTCTGGCRGTATACTGTAAATCGTGGACAGTATACAGCAGGATTGCCATATACGGATATAAATATTGTTGCACCGATTCCCAACAGTGTAAAGGAAGAAAGCTTCACCTTAACATCATCTCTTGTAGCAGCAATATTCTGTACTAAAAGTTCTAATTTTAGGAGCTAGCTTAAAGTGCAGAAATTAGCTTGCATTCTTGTTATAAAATGCTATTTAATTCTTTTTCAATTTGGTTCRTGAATGACTTTTCACAGTGCCGCAGCGCTCGGAGACTTTCAAAGCCTAAATGCAGTGTCATCTAATTCTAAAAGATTTCTACTTCAAAAAGGAGTTTAATAAGAAAGGTTGGAATATCTTAAACCATAAGTTGGTTACATTAGCAGATGTTTTAAATCTGGGTAATTAGGATGTCTGACAATAAATAACAAATACCTGTTGCAYTTTCACTTTGAAAGAAAGCTCCACGCTTGAAATGCCTGAAAGCTGCATGGCATGGAATATAAATATCAATTTAATATACATAGGGCTAATCTGAAAGTCAAACCATTTTTTTTCTAGTCATTCCCATTCTTTCTCAGCATGTGGATGGCATGCAAAAGTCCAGGAGCTGCAGCTTTGCACATAGAATAGCCCTTGAATCCARCAGAGCTTTGGAGAAATGACTCTCATTAGAGCATTAGGTGGGRATTAAGCTGTGCTGGGAAGTCAGTCCAGATTGTGCTCCCCGAGCACTCACTTTCTGCAGCGCTTTATTGCCCCTTCTCCTCCTGGGTGTCGTAGCGGAGGGGAGAGCGTCTGTCTGCCCGCCCCGAGAGCCACGCGGGCTCCTCTGGCAGCTGCTGCTGCAGCAGCAGGTTGGTTCACACTAAATGCCTTGTTAACCTGTGAAGCCAAGCCCCCAAAGTACCCAGGTGCAAATAAATCACCCACAACATGATTAGGAGGCTCTCTTCCCTGGGGAAGGCGTGTTGTGGGCGTCCTGAAGCCCTCATGGCAGGTTTGCTGCCCAGGTGAAATTTATATGAATTTTTTAGTGCTGCCCTCTTTCTCCCCAAATACTCAAAGATTCTCTATTGTCATTCACCTCAGAGCACCAAGYGAGACAAATAAACCTTTTTTCTTTCTCATTCCTCACTTAAAAAGCATTGTATAATCAGTTAGTTACAGAGCAGGCTTCAGGCTCTAGGAAAGTTAGGGCTCCAGCAGGAATATTAACTTTGCCACGCTGCACATGCCGTGGCTTCTACCCAAAAACCGTTCTGGAGGAAGGGAGGGAGTTCCAGGCACTTGCAGTTCTGTCCTGGAGTCAACATTTGCAAAAGGATGTTGAGAGCACGCAGAATAAGCAGCAAAAATTAATTTGGACAGCTGGAAAAATACTTTAGTCTCACCGAAAGGGGGTTTAAACTCCAGCTGAAAAGCGGAAAGGTTATTTGATCATTTTAAAAGTACTTAAGGGTACATTGGACTTTTTTGATTTAAGTTTGAAAGGTGTAACGAAACGATGCTGGAATTTATAGCTAGACAGAAGCAAATTGGTTCCTGTCTGAGGCCACTGGAAGCTGTGCTGGGGCAGGGCAGCTCTTGATTTTTTTTTTCTGGAGAATTCTGCAGCCTAAAAGGCTAAGAGCCTGTGCTCTTATATAAGTGATTGGGGTCCCTTTTTGCCTTAATTCACCTTGGGGACTGGCTTTTCCTCTTACTCAAAGTTCATAAATGCTAACTGTCGTCCACATGAATTATGAAGTAGAGAAGATCCAAGCCTTGCGCGTAGGGAAGTAAGAGCCAATTCCAGGTTGTGCTGCTAGCTGCAGAACCCTGCCAGCCTCCCTGCTGCTCCGGGAAGGGCAGGATGCCTGCRGGATTGGCGGGGGGCCCCAGTGCAAAGTGCCAGTGTGGCTGGTGACCCCTAGGCCCTGCCTAACAGGCTGTAACGTTCTTCCCTTTTGATTACAGGCCTCCTTCCACCGCCAAATCCATCACCATACCAGGACAGGACTCCTCCCTGCAGCTGACCTGTAAGGGGGAGGGCACCACGAGCAGCAACAGCGGTTCGGGCACCATTGGTTCTCTCCGTCAGAGCAAGCCAAGACCCACCATTCTCGGCTCGGGTATGACTGCCTGTCCTGGGGGCTCACACACTGTTTGGCTGTGCCTGGTCTCCAATTTATTTTTCCCCAGCAACTGCAAACACGCAAACTACTTTCCTGTATTTTTTCCACCCTCACTACTCACTCTTTTACTCATTAATAAAAATTAAGGAAACSAAAAGCACATAATAAATGTAATTGTGGAGAGGAAGCATGAATCTTTGCAGTATGCATACTTCTGTTACTGGAGATAAAGCAGTTTGTTCTTGTTGCTGAAGATTTAATAATTCATGATTTGCACTCATCCCTGCTTTCTCTTGTGTTTAGTGACACTTAACATTGTTCTGCACTCCGCTATTCTGTTGCTCAGGCTTATCTTCTAGAAAAGTTCTTCTGCAGATCTTAGTGGTTGGTTTGAGAGCTCATGGCCTTGTTCCAGCTGCTGATGCAGAGTCCTTTGGCTTCTGCCTGAGCCCATTTTCAAGGACACTATATCTTCCCATAGCTGTTTTTTTCCCTAGCACAGTCCAAATGTGCAAGCAGATAGACRCACACTGCACCAAAATAACTCTAATCGCGTCACCTCAGTGCCTTAGCACGGTCACAGTTAGTGTGCAAGTGTTCCTAGTAAACCTGGCCCATGTGTTGAGCTGGAGCAGTCTCTGATAAACTTTCTAAAGGGAGCACGGGCTGCAGGGACGACCTGGAGCAGARGTAATGCTGAAGTCTGGGCGCCAAATCAGGTGTAGCTTAAATGGAACAGAGTCTCTTGCAAGTCGTAGATGGGGAAATGTTGGAACAGGAGAAGCACCACAATGGCAAGTGTAATACCTCACTGCCAGTGGCCTTTCTCTGCTTTTTTTTTTTTTTTTTATTCTTAGCTGGAGGTTTTTAACTATGGATAGCTTCAGCYGTTACCTAACATTCTGGATTCTAGTGCTTGTAAATTCAGGCAGTGGATGCTAGAGTTAGTGCTAAGCTTGATAGAGAAGCTTCTTGCCATTCTTCGTCCTCACCACAGCCACCTGTAAGCTCCACGCTAGCCTGTACAGCAAGGCTTGTCCTTTCCTTCATCTAGTGTCCCAAGATAGCCTTTGTCCTGATGCAGGGGACAATGTACCGACTTGGTTGTGGTGTAACTAAAATGTCCTGTTGTTCCTTGGCAGGCGTCCCGGAAGAACCAGACCAGAATCTGTCCAGTCCAGAGGAAGTCTTCCACTCAGGGCACTCGCGGAACTCTAGCTACGCCAGCCAGCAGTCCAAAATCTCTGGTAACGATTCATCCTAGAATCACGGAATGGTTAAGGTTGGAAGGGACCTCTAGAGATCATCTAGTCCAACCTGTCTGCACTCACAGGGTCACCTAGAGCAGGTCGCACAGGCTGCGTCCAAGAGGGTTTTGAAGATCTCCAGAGAAGGAAACTCCMCAGCCTCTCTTGGCAGCCTGTTCCAAGAGATCCAAGATGATCCATGAGGCTCTACCAGCATCAGCCTTGTTCTTTTTACTATCCTACAACAGGCTGTTCTGAGAGTGATTTGCAGGCACAYGTCTCACTCAGCCCTGCAGTCTGACTTGGGTGTTTCCAGTTATGTGGCTATATGGGAGTTCCTAGGTCAATGTACAAACCTCGGTCTATGGGAGCAGAAATGCTGCTCTGAGGCTGACCTGTGCTGCTGGCAGCGGGTGCAGATCTGTTTTGTAATCGCTCTGTATCCGCAGGTTACAGCACGGAGCATTCCCGTTCTTCCAGCATGTCCGACTTGACCCATCGCCGGAATACCTCCACCAGCAGCAGCGCGTCCGGGGGGCTCAGCATGACAGTGGAGTGTCCGGAGGGAGAGCGGGATCACAAACTGGAGAAGCCCCCTCGGCCGCCGAGACCGGCCCTTCTGATGGATAGACCTTCCCGGTACGTAACTGGAGCAAAGCCTCTGGGAAGGCAGGATTGAACGTCCAAAAGCTTCTTTGTCTTCAGGCAGCAGTAAATTTGAGGAAGTCATTGGAAAGGATGCTTTTGCAAAGGGAAGCAGGAGAGTATTTAAAAGTCTGTTCTGAAAATTTGCCCAGCTTTTCCCTTTTATTTTTTCTCCCAGGAGAAAAAAGGATTCAGTGGAGAGTCACCCAACCAGAGTGGATGACACCAGGATCGATGCTGATGATATAGTGGAGAAAATAATGCAGAGTCAGGACTTCACAGATGTCAGCAATACTGAAGGTGAGGAGATGAGTTTCAAAGGGGAGTTCTGGCTGTTCCTGTAGCAAAACTGCAAAGCTTTTACATCTGTGATTTGCCAGATGCTCCCTCCCCTTTTGACAATAACTTGCTTTCAGTGCTTGCTAGATGTTTCCACATTTGATAAACTGTGGATCTGAGAGCTGCACATCCATTTGTAAACAGCATTTGCTGAGGTGGAATGCTGATTGAAATACACAGGATGGTGGGAAAGGGRCTCCTGATTCTTCAGGGCAGTAGAAATGAGTTGCATCAGTTCTCTGCTTTTGTGGCCTTTGTCCAGGGTCAGGCCAAAAGTATTTTAAAAGAGGAGAGCTACAATGGGAGGGGAAGCAGCACATGTCTTAGCAAAAAAGAAGGGAAGAAAGATGGATCGCAGCGTGGCTTCTGATYGGGATTGTCTGAAAGAGCATGAGAAGCAGGGCAGTTCTCCCTTGCGTCTATTAAGAAAATTAAAAGTAATAATACGACTGACTGGTTTAGGCTAGAAATCAATCAAATCTTCCTTTTTATCTAGGTGTGGTTTTAGATAGAGTTTAAACTCTTGCTTATTAGTACTTCTGTACTTTACTGTTAGTCACCTTAAATCTTTGCAAATGAGAAACCTCTTTTTCATGCAGGGATTTACACCCCGCTGAACATGGGGTTAAAGCTACACTAAATATAGCCATTTTTTTATCAGCAGAAAAGGCTGGATTTCTTCTCCAGTGATGACTCTATAGACAGAGTATGGGACCCCACGTCATCTGTCTAGATGTGTTTAAACTGGCCAAGAACTTAAATCAATGGAATTGTCTTAAGGGAGGCAGCTGTAGGAATATGGTTGAATTCCTTCCTCTAAGTTTACTCTTTCAAAGCTTAATGTTGTGGTGATTTATACATGAGGATCCTTTTTAAAGCAAGAAGAGGAGCTCCCAGGGGCTCTGTTGCTTTGGGAACACTGCTAAGTGTGCCCCTACATTTGCAGAAATGGACTTAGTCCCTTGCTGAACGTTGTGTAATGCTGGGGGGGCATGTCTGGTCTTCGTCAGCAGTTCTGGATTTTGATATTTCTTGCTTTTTTTTTTTTTATTTTTATATCTGCAGACAGTAACCTGAGGTTGTTTGTGAGCAGAGATGGCACAACTACACTGAGTGGTATTCAGTTGGGAAACAGGTAGGTTTCCTGAACGGCTGGTAGACAGGGGGACTGCAGAGAATAATAGTTAGCTCTTTGTATCCAGGAAATTTTCATGTTTGCTACAGGAGAGATTCCTAAACGTCTTGTGAATTTATTCCTACATTAACATCCCAGGATCCCTCTGGTGATAGACTACAGCTGCCCTCGAGTCTGTGTGCAGTTCCCAGGGGAAACTGGGAGGGATAATTCAATCTTAGCTGTTAGATCCAAGCTGTTAGATCCAAGGAAATAAGAATAAGGGGTAAAAGGACAAAATGGTAGAGGTTTGTCCCTGTTTGTGCCTGTGCCGACTTGAAGGCAGGAACCGAAGGCTCTGCCGCCTGCTGGACTGCAGCACAAATGCAACAGTCTGGTTCGTTGGCCCTTCTTGTACCCTCCTCACGTCTGTCAAGGGCTGGTTCTCTCATGAAAGACTTCCAAGAGAACTTGATGAGACAAATAAAACTGTGTCTTGCCACAGTAGCTTTTAGTGAGGTGTCTTGGCTAGTTGCATTGTTGCATTTGCTAAGCTTTATAGCACCTTTTGAGGTAACAAAGCAACATGGTAAATGCAAAGATGCGCCAACTGCAGTGGCAAAGCTGGGAATTGAGCCTTTTCTGGCTCTTTTCCTCTCAGCCCCTTTCYTCTCCCTTTTAGAAGGATTTGTGTTACACCCAACTCTTTCAAATGCTCTAGTGTTAACTTGCCACGTAGCTGTCTGCTTTGTGTTAGGCGGGTTGACTTCTTGCCAGACTGCCTGGTTATTTTCGGGCTTTTCTGTGGGGTTAGAGGAGAGTGCTCCAAAGTGGGGAGTTCTGAAGCAGAACTTGTTTGCTATAAGCAACCGAGGAAAACAGCCTCCTTTTCTCATTGTCTTCCCCTCTACCTCCCCAGGGTCTCATCTGGAGTTTATGAGCCAGTGGTGATTGAAACCCACTAAATGTGAAGAACAGGGTAGAGCTGCTGGAAACGGACCCCCTACCCAGTCCGCTGCCACATGGATGCCAATCTTTACCTCTCTTCATGCAGCATTCCAGAAGGGATTTCTCCACACCCCTCCGCGTACGTTTGCACTGCAGAACTGCTCCGAGACCACTCCAAATCATGCACTTTCCCTGTGTTGGCATTACCCTCCTCCACTTCCCAGTTCTTCCAGTGCCTGTCCTCCCCATGTTCCTGATGAGATTCTGGGTGTCTGGTGGGGTTGTCCTTACTCAGAGAGGACTTTGCTCTTTTTGCAGTCCCTCACTCTGCACATTCATTCACAACAGGGGTCTTCTCAGCTTCTGTCTCCCCCAACCGTTGGGTTATACCACTGTGAACTCTTGAAACCACTGTGGGAGGAGGGAACCCTTCTAACCAAACCGAGAGCTGCTCTTTGGTGACGTGGCRAGGTAGCTCCTTGCAGGATGCTTTATCCCACTGACTCTGCAAGGGAACATCACCTTCCAAGGCAACAGTTTTACTGACAAAGTGTGCTAYGGCGTGCACTTCACCTACCCCTCAAATCCCCAAACATCTTCTCATAGGAAATAGCTCCCCAAAGTGCATTTCCCGAAAACTGCCGCAATCCRTATGGGAGTTGATGGATGGTTAAATGCTAGTGCTTGTTATACCACTAACTGTATTACCCCCTTCCACTGCTGGGCATGGGAGGGCAGGGTTCATCTGTTGGCATTAGCAGGAGCACTTYAGAGGCTCCAGATTTTACCTGGAGGAGGCCAGTGCTTGTTCCAGGAGCATAATCCGTGTGTCCTGGGTGGCCTCAGTAAATGGTCACCGTTGAGGCTTGGGATATGAAGCCTCCTTTTTGGCTCAGGAAGGGAGCTGCCTCCCTTGGACCACGAAGAGCATCTTGTTGTCTGATAACCCTCTCCTGGGCCGGAKCAGGGTGCAGTTGACTGCAGTGGTCTCTCGTGGAGGTGATTCACGGGTGTCTCTCTTGGTCTGGCCAGAAAGGGAATTGCTGGTGATTGACCTTTCCTGTCCCGTCAGCGGGACCTCTGCCTGAGCTGGAGACTTTCAGGGCTGGGGGGAGAGCTCCGACTAGGGCAAGATGAAGCCTCTGTCTTTGCCTTCAAAGGTAGGATGGACGTTTTCTGCCACGTTCAGCACAGCAGTGGCTCTCACCCGCTCTGTGGCAAGTGAGCTTTTCTGATAAGGCTTCACACTGTTTTTCTGGTTGGTCTTTCAATTGCTCTTCTTTCGTTTGATTCCCGCAGTCATCTGACACTTGAGCTGCCTCCTTTCCTTGCAGCGCGTCACTCTTTCAGCTCCCACCTCTAGATTCTCCAGGCAGCTGAACTGCGAACGAGGATCTCTGCCGATGGCAGCCGGGGCTGGCGGCTCCTCCTGTACAGACACTTCCAGCCCGGGAGCTATTTCTGTGTAGTGCCCTTTCCTTCCTTGCCGTTGTAACGTGGTAGCCCGGAGCGAGCCCTTCCCGGCGCGCGGGCACCCTCACACCTGCACCCCCGTCCCTGTGGTGAGCAAAGACATCACAGACCGCGGTGTTGTTCACATTCGAGTTACTGTAAAGGCTTTTTTGTTTTTAAGACAAAAAAAAGGAAAGGCTTAATCCTGGTCTCTGACCAGGACGTATGCGGATGAGCTGCGGGAAAAGGGAATTTGGCAGATTATTAGAAATCAGAGCTGAAAGCGCCTTGCTTTCTGCCCTGCTAGCACGGAGGTGGCTGCACGGAGAGGGCGCTCGGTAGTGCCGCAGAGCAGTACAGCTGCTTACTCCGTTTCGCGGTGTCTCCACAGCTGCTTACTCTGTTTTCGTGGTTTCTCTACTCAAGGCATTGGGTTTCTTTTTTTAGATGGACAGATCAAATACAGGATGCACGTTTTTTTTTCACCCCTTCTCCTCTTCCCTCCAGAGGGAATTGAATCTGGATCAAGGCAAGGAGGGATGTGACGAGACCTTGATTGGTTTAGCCTAGGGAAGCATTTTTGGATCTTTGGCGTCYGTTTCAAACGGAATCTGTCTCATTTGCTGGTGCGTTTAACGKTGGTTTGGCCCAGGCCGGGTCGCCCCGCGGCTCGCCAGCAGGCTGGCGAGTGCCCTGCCCGTGTGCGCGGGACGGGCCCCGCGCGTGGGCTGCAGCGTGGCTGCAGGCCGGGCTGGCCGCTCTCCTGGTGCCTCTGCTGGGTGCCCAGCGCTGCTCCGAGCCCCCCGTCCAGCTTGGCATGGGGCAGCAGCCGCTTGGGCCAGCGAAGCCCTGCTGGAAATGTCTGCGCTCAGCGTGGCGGCAGCAGAAAGCAAAAAAAAAGGCCTCAGAACGGGCAGAAATAACCCAGGGAAGAGGCCAGACCCAGCTCGCTTCTGCCGCTTTGCTTCTCTTCCCGTGAAAAACAATRATATAGTCACTGTGGGAGCACGTGGGAACCAAGGGCTCTCTCCGGGCCCCGGTTGGCAAGAGGCCGCTGTGGCGAGCCGCTCGCTGCTGAGCCGCTCGTCACGGGCAGGAATCCCTTTGCAGCGGGGCGAGAGCGGCGGCGGCGTGCTCGGAAAGGGGCTCTTGTCCTTCCCCGGGCACCTCGGACGCGTCCCCGGCCGCTCTTGCAGCGCTTGGCGACCACGGAACTTGGCTTCTGGTAACTTGTCTCATAGGGTATCTCGTTCTTGTCCCCGCCTCGTTACTGGCTCCGCAGATCCTGGTCTCTAAGTGGCTTTTTAGCTCTCCTGCCGCTTGTTTTGCTCTGGGCGTTCAGGCCGGCACCGGTGTCCCCTGGGCCGAGGGGCTGCGGAGGGTGGCAGGAGCCGTCGGCCTCTGCTTGGGGCCGGGGGGGCCGCCGTGGGGCCGGGGGGGCCGCCGTGGGGCCGGGGGGGCCGCCGTGGGGCCGGGCTGCCCGCTCCGTGCCGCTGCCTGGGAAGCTGCGCTCACTCCTCGCGGCATCGCTGCCATCTGCTCCTTGTCGGACTCTGAACGTTTAAAGAAGTGAATCAGTTTCCAGACCCAAGCCGCTGGCTAGTTTCCTTTGGCTTTTTTTTTTCCTTTTTTTGTCTTGAAATTTATTGAATTTTTTTTTAMAAACCCAGCAGGCTGGTGCAGATTTTTCTTTCTTTCTTTTTTGACTGCATTTTCGTTTCGTTGATATTTTATCCCTGAGAGGCCGAGGCGGGGGCTTTGCTCCCCATGTTGTTTCCCTTCTCGGGGGGATTCGGAGGGGAAGGAGCCGAGTCCAGGGGCTTTAGTGGGGAGAGGGCAGCGCCGGGAGCGGGGCTGCCYGCGGCCGCCCGGCCCCGCGGGCAGAGCTGGCTCTGCTCCGGYCCCGGGTGAACGTGCAGCCTCTGCTCTCCCAGTTCTGGACCTCTGCGTGGTAGGAGCCCCCTGCAAAGAGTTTGGGAAAATCAGTGTAATTCTTTTTTACTAGTTTTTTTTAAAGATATAAAATGAGTGAATGTCAAAAAGTGATAGTCGTCGATCAGTGAAGGMGATGGGCTTCTGTTGGCCGTGTGGATGGAGGGAAGGGGAGAAGGGAGTCGCTCCTGCATCGGTTTGTACGGTTGGCACTTTAGGAAGGGGCCGCGGCGCCGGGCTCGCCCCGGGCGCAGGGACCCGCCGCCTCTGCCGTGCCCCCCGCTGSCGCGGCGCCCCGGCCCGCGGGGAAAACAAAGTCCTTTGAAATGTCCCAGTTTTTAGAGGGGCCAGAACTGGGCCGAGCCCCGCGGAAACACGTTCCCTGCGAATCCCGACAGGAGGGGTCGACTCTTTTTATTTATTTTGTGGTTGCTGTTTCTTTTGAAGCCGGCGGCCGCGCAGCCGGACTCTGCGCGCGCTGCCGGGACGCCCCGCGGAGCCTCGGCGCGGGAACGCCGGGGCGCGCGTCCCTCCCGGAGAGGGACCCCCCCATCCCGGCCCCTCCGCGCCGGCCTCGCCAATCCGCCCTGTGCCCCCCGGCCCCGCCGGGAACGGGCCGCCGTTCGCTGCCCCCGCGCAGGGCTGCGCCCTGGGCACCCGTCGCCGCAAACGCCGCCTGGTCGCGAGCGTCCGCACGGGAAAGCCGCATCCCCCCCAGGGATTCCCTGTGGAAAATCCCCCCGCTTTTCCCTCCCGGGAGCCGCGTTGTCCCTCAGCCCCCACCTCGTCCATGTCGCCRTCGGGAGGGAGCCAACATGGAAACCTGGGAAGCTAAAGGAATTGGGGTGCAGCTTTGAGCTGGAGGTGCGGCTGAGCCTCTAACCCTGCCTCAAACATGAGAAAAATAAAGGTAGAGCCCCTATTTTTGTGGGGGGAGGGAGGGGAGAAGGGGAGATGGTTTTATTTTCTTGAGAGTTATTGATCTTGGTGATCTTCGGACGAGGTGCGCACTTGATTTGTATCAGAGTCTATAGAGAGATCACTGATATTTTTGGAAAGGGAATGGGTCTATGCAAACTTCCAAAATGGCTTGAAAGATAGTTTAACATTTTTTTACTTCGAAATCTAAAGAATAAATCTAACTTTTTTTTTCTTAAAAGCAGAAGTGCGTTTAGAAAGAGAAGCTACTTCCACTGYTCTATTTTGATGATGATTCTTGGAAAGTTTGGGCTGGAGGGAATGACTATTTTTCACCATTTTTATCTTGCTCCTCTAGTTTTGTTTCTTTTTCTAATGGAATGCTGTGCCGTCTTTGATTCCACAGATTGTGTTTGTATTTTCTGTATCTGGTTCCTAACGTAGAGAAATAACATATATGAGGAAATCATTATAATGTCAAATGTTGTTATGGGTTGGGGGAAAATAAAGGTTTTTGGTACTTCACGCTGATTCGTGTTGGCCTTTCTTTGTTGATGGTGGTTTTGGTGTTTTGGTTGGGATGGGGGGGGTATCCATCCATCCATCCATCCATCCATCCTTCCTTCCTTCCTTCCTTCCTTCCTTCCTTTGGTTTCCACACTATCTGCCAAGGAAGCAAAGGAGTCAGGGGCCAGGAATGGGGCTTCCTCTCCTCTGGGGGGTCTCCTCTTTCCCCCTGCCGCTTCGGCTCCTCCTCGGCGGATCCCGTCGCCTCCGGGCCCGTTGCTCCCCCTTGTCCCTCTCCCCCTGCCGCAGGGAGGGATCCCGCCCCGCGGCCGCGCCCGGACTACACGTCCCGTGATGCTGCGGGGCCGCGGCGCCTACATCTCCCAGCATGCCGCGGGGCTCTCCCCTCCTCGCTCATTGGCTGCACGTTGTGGCGTCCCCGTCCCCATCCGCCGCGGCCGGAGGGGGCGTGGCGCCAGCGCTGTGCGCTGATTGGCTGGCGCCTCCCGGAAGAGCGCGGCGGGCGGCAGGGRGCCGGTGCTGCGCGTCGCCATGGTGAGTGGGGGGGCGCCGTGCGGGGCTGCGGCTCCGCCATGGCGGGCCCGGAGCGCGCGGGGCCTCGTGGCG